ACAGGTACATGCAGAGACGTGCACACACCCCACAGGTGCCCAAGCTCAGAATCACAGGTACATGCAGAGACGTGCACACACCCCACAGGTGCCCACGCTCAGAATCACAGGTACATGTAGAGATGTGCACACACCCCACAGGTGCCCACGCTCAGAATCACAGGTACATGCAGAGATGTGCACACACCCCACAGGTGCCCACGCTCAGAATCACAGGTACATGCAGAGATGTGCACACACCTCACAGGTGCCCACGCTCAGAATCACAGGTACATGCAGAGACGTGCACACACCCCACAGGTGCCCATGCTCAGAATCACAGGTACATGCAGAGACGTGCACACACCCCACAGGTGCCCATGCTCAGAATCACAGGTACATGCAGAGACGTGCACATACCCCACAGGTGCCCATGCTCAGAATCACAGGTACATGCAGAGACGTGCACATACCCCACAGGCGCACAGGCTCAGAATCACAGGTACACGCAGAGATGTGCACATGCTCAGAATTACAGGCATACACAGAGACATGCACATACCCCCAAGATGCTTTAGCTCAGCTTTAATCAGTTTTTTCATAGTATTTTCCCAGTGATTGAAAGGGCAAAGTCTAAGCATAGAATGTGTTATCTTAACAATAGTGGATATTAAACACAGTCTCAGAAGTCATGATATGTGCTTACGAATGCACTGGTTGGTAGTCTAAGTTAACAACTGCCTCCTGTCAATAGAGACTAGCTCTAATTACTACTTGGTTTGGGTCCACCTAGTGTTTGTTTTTTCTTTTCTCACAATGTTTCCAGCTTCTGATAATTTCTTCAGTTTACTCTTGATTGGGACAATGTTGTAAAACAAATAAAACTAGAGAGAATAGTTACAGTCTAACAATTAAGTCTTGAAAATTCTATTTTGGGCTGAATATTTTTTAAAATAATATTTTCAATGTTGTATAAATCAACTAGATCATTTGAGTTTTCATCGTTTTCTTTGGCAATATGCAAATCAAAATGTAGATGCAGTGAACAACTTGGAATAATGATCCAGATTGTTTAGAAATTTTCATTCTCAATGCAAACTGTGTGAACGCAGTCTCAGGCTTCAGAAAGCTGGGACCTGCCCGACCTGTGCGTGAGCTGGCATGTGAGAGCCTGTGAGGAGGCGCAGCTCGGGTTAGGACTGCAGGGTCAGTGTCCAGCCTCTCGGCTTGATCCTTCCTGTCTTCTGTTTTGCCTTTCACATTTTCTAACTCTTGGCCTTTTTGCTCTACTTTTGCAAGGTTTCTTTGACTTTATCTTATAACTCCTTTTTGTGATTTTTTTTTCTGTAGTGACATTTTTATTTTTGAGGGTTCTCCCTTGTGATCTGATAGTTCTTTTTCTGAGACTTTTTTCTGGTGTGATGCACTCTCTCTGGACCCTAAAGAGCATTTTCTTTTTAAAAGAGTTTTTCTGCTCATTGAGTTACCTGTCCCTCATCTTCCCTCCTGTCCAGATTTTGTAATCTTGTGATCTGTGGCTGCCTGCTGTGTTTCAGGGCAGCAGGTAGCCTGGGTTGTGTGTATATGTCTCTGTTTATGTGTGTGTGTGTGAGCTGCTTGTGGGTGGCGGGCAGCCTGTGTGTGAGCTGCTTGTGGGTGGCACCCACTGACTTTCTGAGTTGGGAAGTGTGAGTGGCAGGAACTAGTTCTTGCAGGGAACACTGTGGCAGAATGCAAAAGGCTTTAGTAAGTGCCACAAAAGGTGCCCTGATTCTTCCCAGATACTTTATTTTTTTAAAATCTTTTTTAGAAGTAATCCCTCATTTTTTTTTTTTTTTTTTTTTTTTTTGCCTAAATGTAGTATCTTCCTGCCACTTGTTTGTGGAGGAGGGTAGGGTGTTCATTTTCAGTGTATTTTTCTTTCTTTTTTTTTTTCTAAGTTAGTAGACTATTTTTAGGGCACTGTGGGTTATAGGAAATTTGAGCACAAGATGCAGAGAACTCCTGTGCTTTCCCCCCTCGGGCCTGCAGGTTCTGATTACTGGCACCTTCCACTGGTGTTGTGTGTTCGTTGCAACTGGTGGGTAAATAATGACGTGTTATCATTAGCTAAAGCCCACAGTATACCTGGGAGTTCACGCGGGTTGTACCTGTCCCCCTGTACACAGCACCGTCCCTGCTGTGCTGTCCTTGGGTATAGTATTTTCCCTCTGCAGGAGTCAGGTCGGCCTCCCTCTTCTGTCAAGGCTCTTCTTAGATTTTCTTGGCTGTCATATTACAGAGCATTTATCCTTCCAGTCTCCTTATTTTTTAGAAATCTGTTCTTTTTTTTTTTTTTTTTT